TGGAGGGAGCAGCCTCCTGGGAAGTTGGTATCCTGTGATTCCCATCTTCTTCCCAGCCAGGGTGGAGACAGATCTTTTGGAGAGGAATTCGCAGAAAGCCCTTCTGGTCCCGAATTCCTGGAGCTCCTAATCCATTTCTCTGGGTTTGGGGCCTCTTAGTGGCCACCCCAGGGAGATGTGGAGCCCAGGCTGCTTCTGCCTGACCTCTCCTCTCCTCCTGCAGGGACCTGCTGTCCCCAGACTCCCTCCTCAACTGCCTCTACCCAGGAGACCACGGGAGGAAAACCCCCAACCCGGCCAACCAGTTCCAGTTTGACAAAGTGGGGTGAGTGAGGGGGATTGGGTTGAGTGCCCCACTCCCAGCCTGGCACATCCCTCCCTGGCCTCTCAGGGAGGCTTTGGAAGGGGTGGGACAGGGTGAGGGGGTGGCATGACCCTTCCTTGTTGTCCCCACAGCATCGTGACCTTGAGCGACTACGTGACAGAGCTGGGGCACCCCTACGTGTGGGTGCAGAAGCTGGGAGGCCTGCACTTCCCCAAGGACCAGCCTCAGGCATGGCACACCCCCTCCCCTGTCCCCTACAGCAGCTTTGGGGACGCTCTGGGGACACTCGTGTCCTGTCCTGCCCCCTCAGAGCTGCTCCCAACCCACGGTGGGATGGGGTTCCCACCCCATGATCCCACCATGGCTGGGACGGGCTGGGCTGGGTCTCTGTGTGTGGGGCACGCAGGGGACGGTCTAAGCCCTGTAAGGGACACTGAGTGACCCAGCTGGTGGCTCCTGGGCTGCGGGGTGCCAGTGACAGTGCCACCCCTCCTGCCACAGCACATGGTCACTGCAGACAATTCCCTGAGTACCAGTGACAGTGCCACCCCTCCTGCCCACAGCACAATCACTGCCAGTGACAGTGCCACCCCTCCTGCCCACAGCACAGTCACTGCCAGTGACAGTGCCACCCCTCCTGCCCACAGCACAGTCACTGCCAGTGACAGTGCCACCCCTCCTGCCCACAGCACTCGGTCACTGCAGACAACTCTCTCAGTGCCAGCCACATGGAGCTGACGGTGAAGCTGCTGCGGAGCCGCCTCCAGTCCCGCCTGGCCCTGCACAAGCAGTTCGCCTCCCTCGGTGAGTGCCATCCTGCCTGGGCACAGGGGGGCATGGACAGGGTCCTGCTGGGCCCCCCACCCATCCCTGGGGACAAGGGTGCAGT